CCAGCAGCTCCCCAGCGGACGCCAAGTCACGACCCGGTGAACGCGTGCCCCAGTAATCGCCAGCAAGCGACCAGTCACGACCCAGCGACCGCGCGCGCCCCAACAGCACTTGCATCGAACCTGAGCTCGCGAGCTGGCGAGCCCAGCCCAGGCAAGCCCCATGCCCACCATGCACACTCACTGCTAAACCCGTTTCGAGACCCGACGAACTGCATAATTCATTAAATGTGTGTATTTGTGGTGTGCTTATAAATAGATATTGTGCTTTGTATTTTTGGACACCACCCCTCATTTTCCAACTTTTTAGTTGGGAAATCAGCTCTTTTCTCTCTTTTATTTTTATACTTTGGTTTGGAGGTCCAGGACTTGACATTTTCCGGCGACATTATTTTTATCCAAAATTTGATCTTTACGCGTTATTTTCGTCTGAGCTTGCGATAGGAGGGTAAGTATACCTTGATTAGGGCTTATTGCTTCGAATTTGCGTTTTGGCCAGAATCTTGTGTGATGCTCAATTTTAAGATTTTTCTTTATTTTCATTGCTTGCTCAAGTGTGTTAGGAATTCCACACGTTCTTATCTTGTGTAAAGGTTTCGACTTTGCTCAAAGCGTGATAATTTAGTTAACAAGGCTCGTGTTAGGTTACCTAGGATCATTTTGCTCGCATGTTTTCTCTTCGTTTATTTTCACTTTTGCCAAGTTGTGGCGACTCCGTGGAACCGAAGCTCAAATCTTTTCTTCCAAAACTCTCTTGTTTCCTTAATTGCTTTCACTTCTTAGTGCAAAATTAGCTTAATCAACGCCTCATCAAGCGAGTAGCATGTTTAGGACCTTATTTTCGTTTTGTGAATTGACGACTAGATAGTGAACGAAACTCCGGACAACCTTCTTTCGAGAAGATGACCTGAGTGAGATCTTTCGATCGTACTCAGCTAAAAACTACAAATAATATGGCGCCGTTGCTGGGGAAGGCGAGTAGGATGCCAAGCTTGTTATCTAGTTGTCGTTTGTTTACGTGTTTCTCTTGCTTTTTGTGAATTTTGCTTAATTTTGCGTGTTTCTCTTGACTATGTACTTGTTTTCAATTTCTCTCGTTTTTTGGTATATGTGTTCTTGTAAATATGGTGTCGTGCTAGTTGTGTTTTTGTATTTTTCTTTTCTTTGCCTCGTGTGCTGTTGGGTTGTTTTTTTGTTGTTGTGCGAGGTACTTCGCTTGAGGAGCTCCGATGGATCCGTATGGTTGTTCTTATGCTGGAAGGTTGTCTCGTGGATAACCCGAAAATTATCAAGAGGAGATGTACTCATATGAAGGCTGCCCCATTCGTATCCGTGCTATTCAAATTCTTATCGCTATGACGGATACTCTACATTCCATGGTATTGCCCGAGCCATTCTTACCCGGCATGTTGAGGCGAATATGGTGATTACATTTTGGGTCATGACGAGACACCTCACTACTATCTGTCGCCTCCTGATTTTTATAGTTCAAGACCTCCACCCGAGCCGGTTCGAGAAGCTTCTTCAATCTAAATAGACAAGATTATGGGAAAACTGGAGAAGTGCAATCAATTCCTTAGCGCTTCAATGGATCCCATGTCCGAAAAAAAAGAAACTATCTCCATCCTCTCCATCATATGAGCATCAATCGGTTGACCAACCTTTTACATCGAGTTCCGAAGCTTCATTTCCAACAACGGTTGTGCCTTCTGAACGTCAACGAGTGGTTTTGACGAGCACTCAATAGGCACTTGTGAGCCTCATGTCGATCATGAGGAGTTTCATAGTTGGATGAGTATTCCCATTTCATCCGTTCTTCAAGCAACACTCACGAAGTTCGACTCTACCATGGTAGCTTTTTTCGACTTGGACGCATCTCACATTCCGCTCGGTGGATATTGTTCTCTATCGGCAATGGTTATTCGAGAGATTACTCTGTTAGAAGGTGAGGTTCGAGCTATGGTGGATAGGTTTGCCTCCTTGAAAGAGATGGGCCTCACTCTTGTTTATGACGGAACACAATCTCTCGACACGAGTGAGGACATCGACGATTTGGTTGTTAAGGAAATCTCCTCCTTTGACGATTTGGCCTTGCACTCTACATTAGGTACGTCAAACTGCCCTTTCTGAGGATTGTGCTTTGAATTCGATTACTATTATTGAAAGTGAGTGTATGGAACCGGGAGTTGAAATGGTATATGGTATGGGGGAAAATTCATCTGAGGATTCCATTATGCCTAATGGTTTTGATAGTGCTCGGGAGGATAACTTTGAGGAGGAGGAAGAGTTAGTTCAAGATGTAGAGGATGTTGTTGTGGAGGATTATGAGCCATTATGTGATGTCGTGGACCCGAAGTGTGCGTTAATTGGTGATTTGACCCCGTATGTTGAGTATGAAGTGGTTCTCTTGTCCTTTGGGTCGTCATATCGTGTTATTGAGTATCGTGACTATTTGGGGGAGTTTAGTGCGTTTACGCCCGTGCTACGACGCTTGAGATCGATGAATACACATTCGAGATAATGCAAATGATGGTCGGGATTGATTCGACGTGCTCCACAGACATTTTCATATTCCCGGAGGTCGAGTATGGGGCTTTGGTTCGTAAAGACTTATCTCTTCTCTTGGTGGTTGTTGATATCCATGCTTGGTGTCACAAGAATTCGGCCACGAGAGCTTATTTGGCCTGCCGTTATTCCGTACTGTTGTCCAGTTTGCTCTCGGAAAATACATAGGTGTGGCATGATCGACATTTCTTCTTGGACCCCGGTTGATATTCGTTGGGGACGTCGATCTTAAGACATTAAAATGAGTGCTTCGTGGGAGACAACCCACGATTTTTGCTTTTTCTCATATTTTTCTTTTATCGAAAATAAATAGTCCCGCAAATCATACGACACACGAGTTATTTGAAGAAGGAAACGATACTTTGGTCGAGATTCGGTTGAAAAGTGAGGAAATTTGGGCTAAGTGTGCAAATTAATGAGAAA